GGTTGTTCCTGCAGATGTCGGGCTTCTTGAGGTACACGTCGCCGATGGACCGCGACACCTGGATGATCCCCTTGATCCGCCACACGCCGTGGCTGTTGAGCACGATGTGCGGCTCGTCCGGGTGCATCTCGGCCACCTCCCGCCGCACGTCCTCGTCGGCGACGTTGTGGTCCTGCGACAGCCGCTCCGCCACCACCCGCTTGTTCCCTTTGCCGCCGCGGCGGCCCAGCACGGCGCGCGAGTCCCCGAGGTTGGCCACGTACAGCGTCCCGCCCTCGATGGCGCCCACCAGGCAGCAGGAGCCCACGGACACGATCCTCGGCTGCGACGGCCACGACTTCTGCACCAGGCCTATGAACTCCTCCTCCGTCGCGCCGAACGCCTTCTGGAGCACCTCCGCCGACAGGCCCCCGTTCTCAGCCGCAAAGCCTGCGCAGGGTCGTCTCGACATGTCAGTCAGAAAAACAGGTGCAGTCGTACAACATGTTTGCATATCGAGATCATCTCCAGCAGCGATCGATCGAGGCTCACCTTGGATATGGGAGAAGAGGCGCCTGTTGACGAATCGCGCGGCCTCGGGCCCGCCGTGCCCGTCGAAGACGCCGACGAGCGTGGCGGCCGGGGCCGCGAGCACCTGCGCCTGGTCCTCGAGCGACTCGTTCGCCTGCGCCACGGCGATGGAGTAGTCACCGGACGCGTGCGCCTTGAGGGCCACGTCCCACACCAGTCCGTCCGCCACGCCCCCTCCCCTGCCGACGCCTTCACCGCAGCAGCACCCGCCGCCGCCGAACGGCAGACACCGCCTTAAACCTCTCATAGCCAGGACGAGAACCCCAACCAACCACTGATTCACTTCCCTTCACTTGTGTGCGCGCGTCGCTGCTGCTTGCTGCCCCGGCGATCGATATAGAGAGACGCCCGGCCGCAGGGGGTTTTGCGGCGCTGCTGCTCTGGCTCGCTTTGTCGGGGTGTGGTGTGTGTGTGGAAGAAGTGCTTGCTGCTTGGTGTGTGACGGGCGTGTATAGGCAGGCGGCAGCGCGCCGATTCGGCGCGTGCTCACCGGTGGACCGCGGGAGCACGGCACGACGGGACGGGCGGGTGGACTGGAAGACGCGTTTTTCTGGGTCGTGCCTGCCGTTACACTCTCTTTCTTCTGTTCACCGCTTTGGCCGCCGCGCTGCAAATGCCCATCTGAACGGGGCCGACCCCGGCCCCGATCTCTGGTGCAGTTGGGAGAAGGGGCCACGGTTCCGACGCTGCTTTGGGCGTTTCAGGCGCGTATCTGAATCTCCTCCCTTTGACTATCAAGGACAGTGGCGCGTACCTCACCTGACACAGATGTTGCCTCCACCTTCCAGGTGTAAGATATGGACGCTGTGGACATACAGCCTGTTCGGTTGGCTGGTTTATATCGTTGCTGGTTTGTGAAGAAGTACTGCTGGCTGGTTTGTGTGAGAAAAAAATACTGTTCCGGCTGAAAATTTACGATCGTTTACAGCCAAACGAACAGGCTGATAAATGATTTCGACTCGTGCGTATATATCTTTTGTTTTGCTTTCGAGAGGACACTCGCCATGCACACTGCCAAAGTATTGTTGGGCTATACCATGTTCAGATTTTTTCAGCTACCGTCGGTCTGCTTACCACCGGAAAGGAAAACACCGGCAGAAGGTAAGCTTGTGTTATGAGACTCTGCCTTTTGACCGAAGTCTATAAGTTTGTATTTTCTTAGACCGAATCACACTGTTACTAATTATTAAAAACTTCTTTTAAGCCTCCATCTCAATTCTCACAAGACGTGTTACAAGAGAAAGAAAAGGCAAACCTAAAAATTCACAAAAAAAAAAACATTTGGACATCAATATGGTAGACTCTTATCATGGATATAGATTCTATTTTTTTTGAAAAAAAAATATATCCACGTCTTTATAAAAATAATACTATAAAGTAACTCCTAAGTCTATATCTAAACTACCCACTTTGCATTAATGGAAAATAACTTCGAGTAACTCCTAATCTTCACCTAATTTACAAATCTATGCCATTATAAAAATAATAATTTAAAGCAACCTCTAAATCTGCATATAAATTAGCTACATCCATCATTATTACAGATAACCTAAAGCAACACCAACATGCGTCGTTATAAAAGTAATATAAAGTAACCTCTAAATTTGTGACTAAATTACCCACACCCACTATTATTAAAAAATCGTCTAAATTATCTATGTCTATCATTAGATAATAAGTGCTTCTATATATACTTCTAAATTTCTCTTTTGTTATTATTAATCCCAGTTATGGTATATACACATGACGTGTCACATAATTCACACCATGTACATACGTATCTATTTCATGTCAACACATATAAACCCCTAAGGGCTTTGTTTGACTGTACACATACATATCTACATCAATCCATATATGGAGGTAAATACGAGTACAGATAAACAAGACCTAAGGTTTTACCTAAACACATATCCAACACAAGTGGAGATACGATGTAGAGTAAAGCAAAAAAGCTATGAATACGGATAAAAAATATATAGACTAATTGGTAACTGAAATCTATCATAGCCGCACAAAGACAAGAAAGTATCTATATGAATAGTTTCTTGCAGCGAAAAAGAACCAAACAAACGTTTGGTTAGATCCTTAGCATGATGAAACCTATCCGCTAGGATTCAAGCCCTATATTTTGCATGGGTTATCGCTTGTGTTTCACGAAAATAGAAAGAGCAAAGATAAGCAAATGATTAGTCGTGGGGTCTAAATTCAGTCTTGAATCTCTGGCAGTTATTTCTATTAAAATTCTTCGTCCACACAGAGTATGGGTTGAACTAGTGCACATAACAGAAAAGAAAATTTTATCCATGCTAACAGACGAATTCATCCATTTTACCAGAAATGGCGATACAGTGTTATCAAAAAACTTTTCTTATCCCATCTGTTATTGAAATTATTCCACAGGACATTTGGACAAATATGCTAGCTTCAGTGAACCAATCGATCTCACTCTGTTTTGTTTTATAAGATGCATTAGGATATGTACAACGCAAGGTACTTAGACACTGGTACTTAAGAAGAGAGAATATTGTCATATCATCAAGCATCAGCATAGAACTTAATCACTAGAATATAAATTGGTACTCCCTCCGCCCACAAAAGAATACAATTCTCGCTTCTCGAGGTGTCAATCAGTCTGAACTTTGACCAAAATTATATAAATTTTTTTTCGAATATTCATAATGCAAAATTAGTATCATTAGATTAGTCATAGAATATATTTTAATAATAAATTTATTTAGAGACATGAATATTAATACTATTTGCTATAAACTTGATCAAACTTGAGCTACATTAATCGGCACGGATCCCATAATTATATTCTTTTTTTTGGACGGAGGGAGTATTTAGGTAGGCTCAAAACTATCATGTTAGCACACACAAATCACCCCGTTTAAGTTTAAGTATCTTATCCACCTCTTAGCATCAGGTGTCGGTATAGTATAGTGGAAAAACTATTTTTTCACTAAGCATCTTCTCTTTTCATTTCTCCTCGAGACATCCTATTGTTGTATTGTATACATGCTATGAATGTAGGCTCGCTAACAAGGGCGCCATTCAAACAGCCCACTTAGCCCACTGTACCTGATCAACAACGAAGAAGCTACCATTTGGATTCAACATGGAGCATGCGGTTTCATATAGTTCACATGTGTTTTTTTCATTGTTTTGATAGTTCCAAAAATCAATCCCAAAACAGGATTTTTAAAATGACAAATTGTAAGACTTTTACTCCCTCCATTCAAACTATAAGACGGTTTGGTTTTTCTGGATACATCATTTCTATTACGTTCTACACATAATAAGTTGTTTCGACAGTGTGTATCTAAGTGCATTGCAAAACCTATATATCTGAAAAGCCAAAGTGTCTTATAATTTAAAATGGAGATAGTAGTATTTATATTAATTAAGATATTTTCTGGTGTTTTTATCTTAAAAGAAGGTATAAAAAACAAAATTGGAAAATTGTGCTGCGTTTCACAGGAAAATGTGCTAGCTTAAAGAAAAACCCTCCAACTTAAGAAGAAAATTATTCCTTCTTTAAGGCAAAAGCATGTTCTAGCTTGTGAAGAAAAAATTATAGATTCGCTAGGAAAATGTTGTAGCTTCATAAGAAAATGTTCATATTTCATGACCGAAAGGACAAATTTATTCTGGCACCATGAGAGAATTTGTTCCAACATAAAAGAACTAAAATCACAAGAAAAAATTCTGCAGATTTTGTAGAAAATGCTGATGACATATTTATGTGAAACAAAAGGAATATAAAAATGGATTAGAACACAAATTTACAAAGACATAACAGATTTTACTCCTAGTCTAGTGACAAACAGGGAAAAGCTTAACTAGTGGATCTGAAAAAGAGATGATTGTTAATGACAAGAGTTATAAGGATAAAAACAGTTAGAAGCGAAATAAAAAGAGAGAACCAAGTGTCATGGAAAAAGAAAGGAAAAAAATAAAAAGGAAAGGGAGAAAGAATGAACCAGTTTCATGGGCCGCTCTCCCTAATGAACCAGCGTAGTCATTCTCGTGTACCTGCAGAAAAAGAAAAAACAAAGGATAGGCCGGCCCATTAGCGCTTATGAAGAAGCTAGCTGTAAACAGGCCCGAAGAATATTCCTCTCATGCGTTCACCTCGCGTGCGCGACAACAAGGCGACCGCCGCCGCCCTACGCCCAGCTGCCCAGGTCTTCGTCAGGCCCTTTGCCGGCGGCGAGCACCCACCACACCAGGTATGTCCGCCCCTTCTTCTTCCTTCCTGCTTTGCAAATCTGAGCTCCTGAACTCTAACTTAATCTATTTGGCTATCTGTATTCGGATTTGATATAATCACAAGTGTATATATGAATCATGCTTACTTCGATTTTTGAATGTCGGTTGTACATGTGTACGCCTATGTGCTTTATTGGGTCCGCCCCTGCGGCAGGATGGCGCTGAGGGGGGTCTGGCAGCTGCAGAAGCTCGTGGTAAACTACTGCGATTGGGGAGGGAGCAGCAGGGGCATCAGGTATGATGATATAGTTTGGTTCCTCACACGGTGGTAGTACCATTAGACCATAGTGTTTTCGTATGATTTCCTAAGTTCTGTTGCTAGAATTAGTTGAGATCCTGCTAATACATGTTCAATGCGGGAATTGGTCAGATGATTGGTCGAATGTGCCCAGCCAAGGATTCGTCGTTGCAGATGAGTGTGGTGTGTATGCAGTTACAATTTGGAAGTTGGAACTGAAGACAACTATCCTGTTGCTTCTTTAGCTTTTCTAGGGCATTCCTGTGTGGAAATTTCATTTCTAGACAGAAATGTGTTGTGGGACTAGGGGGTACTGATGTATGGGAATGAGTTAAAAGAGCTGCCCATTCAGTCGCGATTTAGATCAATCACATGCTATTTGTTGCAACAATAGAATCAGGCACTCTATGCCTGTGCTTGTGTTCGTTCATCAGATTTTAGCTCGAGCTATAGCGCTTTCCTTGTACAGCAGTACACTACAGTTTAGTGGCAGTTGTATGGGCTTCAGATCAAACATGGTGTGGGTTAGTACTATTCATTACTGGATACCAATGTCTGAATCTGCTCTTTAACAACTAGCACCTTTTCTGATTGCAGGGCCTTCATGGAGGCACATCTTCCAGCCTTTAAGGAAAAGAATCCACACTTAGAAGTGGTGACAGAGCTTGTCCGCGGTCAACATCCTAACTTGAAGGGAATTTACAGTAAGATCTTGGGTACTTTTCTTTTCCATTGCAATTTATGAATTCTGTGGAACTAGTTTCCTGATAGGGATACAACTTATGGTATGGATTGGCATTGAGAAGACGCTATAGGAATACAATGTAGCTTAACCTACCATGTTAAGATGAAAATTGCACATCATGACCATTTCTGGGTCTCCCTCTTCTCTCTCTTTCTCTCTCTGGAAGAGTGGAAGTCGGGAGGGGAGGCCCCTGCCTTAATTTCATTAATGAAAGAAGAGAGCTGTACATGTATAAACCGAACTGTAAAATAAGTGCAACAGGCAAGCACAAAGATGGATGAGGAGTAAAAGAATGTTAAAACAAAGGAAAGGCAGAGAGAGAGAGAGAGAGAGAGGAGAAAGTAAGAAGAAAGGAAAACCTCAAGACGGGGTAAGAGATGAAGAAGTGTGAAAGAAAGAAGTAAAGGGAAATAAAAAGGAAATGGGAAATATAAATATCAGCCTTGAATCGCATCATATGAATGTGAACTTGAACTTCCATCGTCCTGTTCCCGTTTATCATCTATGCATCCAGGCTGTGATAGCATCCCTCCTTGAATCCTTATTTGCCCTGTTTTTCTCTGTTCTATCTGCACAAGCTTGAATACCTGTTCAGAATAACACGCCTGAAGGTGAACATATCTTAGTTTAAATATACCACGTTCAAGATAAAACCTCCATTGAAATTGAGCACATTTCATGATCCTCATCAGCGTTGGGAGGATGGATGGTTACACCTACCTTGGATTGGACGGAATAAGATTGGTTAGCAATTTTTGTGGGATAAGAGGGCCGTCTTATATGGATTGATACAGATTCTTGTATTGTCAGATTGATCCTGTATATGGAGCCATTACAATACTGCATGCACTACGCAAGCAAGATCCTGTAGGATAGGATTGGTATTTTCCACTAGTGAAAAAAATTATTATGGGATTGGATTGTATAATTCCTTGAACGCAGCTGTCCTATAGCTGCTGTTTTCTTGTTGTCTTATCTTTGTAATTTCCACTGCTACGCTGATTTTGTTTTGTTCTCAATTTTCTAACTAGCCTTGTTGTTGTGCAGAAAACCATAACGAGCGAGTAGTCTGTGTGAGAAATTTACCGCCAGAGGAAATACTCCTGCAGGCCACAAGGCTAAGGAACTCTCTGGGTAGGAAAGTGGTGAAGCTGCGAACCAGACACGTAACGAAACGGCCCAGTGTTCAGGGGACGTGGACGACGGGACTGAAGATGTGAGCCAAGCTACCAGCCAAGGCGTTTCGGTGTTCTTGTTGGTGTGACCGCAGGAAATGTCAGCTGTGTCAATAACTTTGGTAGAGCTGCCGTTATGCTAGCCTATTTCAATAGCCAAACTGTTTACACCTTTTGTTCCGAGTACAATCTGGTAATAACATAGAGACACTTGGAGTTTCTTGTTAGTGCCAGGCTAGCCGTCACATTTGACATTTCAGCCTGGTGATATCTGTCGCCTATATTAGACCAGTACCTTGATGTTCCAGCTCGCGAGATTTTGTGAACACATAACTTTGCTATCATATGTCTATGACCAATGATTTTTTTTTCCGCTGGTACTGGTAGAAGTGGAAAAAATGGTAGAAGTGGAAAAAAAAAGGATGCCTGGAACCGTCACCAGACTCAGCTATACAATATGGTGATAGTAAGCCAGTCAATCATCATTAGGATAGTCTCACATAGTTGTATTGCTATTGTAAACAAAAAAACTCGCATAGTTTGTATTGTATTGCTGTTGTGCGAATAAAAGAACTACTAGAAGATACTCCATCCGTCCAAAAAATAATAATAATTTTGAAACAGTGTCATGGGTTAGTATATTAACTTTGACCATTTATAAATTAAAAATTGTAAATATTTATAATATTAAATAAATATTAATAGATTAATTATGAAGTGTATTTTTATGATAAATTGATTTGGAGTCATAAATATGAATACTATTTACTAAAAACTTAGTTAAACATAAACCACTTTATATGGCACACAACTCATAGTTGCGTTTTTTTACGGACGGAGGTATTATCTGCGAATCGACAGTCTGACTAGTTGAAGCAGACAGAGTTGAAGCCGTCAATGAACGCGGGGGCAGGCCGACGTCGTGTGGTGTTAGACTGCCACGGCAATAAATGAATAAACATTTCTTAAGACGGTCTCTAAAACAACCGTGATCTAAATTAAGCCTCATTCGTTTTTTATAACGCTACAGGCACGTGGTTCAATACTTATTTTTGATTTTCTTCAACAACAATACTCAAAAGACAACCCTTTCTACAAATAGGTTTTCAAGAGAAAGAATACTTAGATTTAGATTATACATCTCCTGGCACCTTAAATAAATTTTTATAGAGATACTTTGTTGAAGGTTATAGATATTGCGCAGGAGACGTATTATAGATTTAGGTTCCACCTCGAACGGCACCAGCATATACGCGCATTTTCGATGGCAACACGTTTTAGTAGTGCAATCTGATGCTAACAGTGGCATCCCACCCACACCACACGGCAGTGGAGGAATAGCCACGTTCCCAGCACGGCATTCCCACGCGCGCGCGCCCGCCGACGGCGACCCCCGCAAACGCAACGCAATAATAATAGGCAGCCACCACCATCCCCACCAGGCCAGCACCAGGAAGGATATAGCGGCGAGCAAAAGCGGGCGGAAAGAAGAGGAAAGCCAGGCTCGCCGCTCCCCCACCGCGCCACCAGCCGCAAAGCACAAATCCTAAATCCGATCTCTCTCGAGGTTTTCGGTTTCGATCCGGCGAGCGGGCGAGCTCTTCATGGCGACGTCGTTCGACCGCTGGGAGAAGGACCCCTTCTTCCTCGCCGCTGAGGAGGTCCAGGAATCCGCCGATCGGTGCGTTGCCCTTCTTTTCCCCCCAATTTCATCGGCATTTTTTTTAGTCTTCTCTGGGTGGGGTTGGCCTAGGTTTGCTCCGCTCCGTTGCGATTGCGGATCTGGTGCTGACCTCTGTTGGTTTTCTGTCTGCGTCCACGCAGGATGGAATCGGTGTATAGGGTATGGGTCCAGGAGAGGAGCAGCGGCGATTCGGAGGCGGCAAGCGTCAGTGGAGGCCCTTCAGCTGCGGAGCTTCGCCGCGAGCTGCACACGGCGCTTGGCACCGCCAAGTGGCAGGTAAATCTGTCGCCCTCATCGTTCATATCGAGGTTATATTATTGCACGGTCCGATTGCTGTAGTCCCTTTGCTAAATTCGTTAGTGTTTTATAGCGTAATTGGTATATCTTAGACACTCAGATGTGTAAAAACTTCTCCTGCTTAAACGATCACTGACAATCGAGCTTCGCATATTGTTTCATTCATTTCTTCTGCTTATTATGAGTTGCCATATTCCCTCTGGGATCCTCCTTTTTTTTTATATATGTACAAGGCAGCTCCCCGCCCCCCCTTTTTTTTTAAAAGAAAGAGTTGCCATATTAGCATGATGTTTAAACAACCACAATCATGTAAATGTGGATGTGATTGAGGTGATAACAGTACTTGGTTGGATAATGTACCCATCCAGTCATGTCAGTGGTCATACCTTTATAAAAAATATGTTTGTAATTATAGTGCAAAATTTGAAGATTAATGCTACATGTATCTTCGATTCAAAAGCTCATTCTGTGATTTGGTTTGTCCTTCTTTCAGCTTGATGAACTGGCACGGGCAATCAGATCGAACGACCTGGTTATCTCAGCAGGAAAAGACACAAGAGCTAGGCATGATGACTTTGTTACAGCAATTGGCTATCGCATATTAGAGGTTGAGAAAAACTTGAAAGAATCCAATGTTGCAGAGGGGAGGGGACCGATGAGCTGGGTTCATTTGGATGAGGATGAACGGGACGACCTTGCAGCTTTCCTGTCTGCCAGTCCTTTTCAACAGAAAGACAAAGTGGTCACAATTCCTTCAGCAGGTGATATTGAAGTGGGCAGCAATGCAGCAAGGATGAAAAATGATATATCAACTGACAGCTCCAAGGATTCAGCTGGTTCCACGGATTTGATTTCAGCGAGAGCAAAGGAAGATCTGCATCGTGGTCACAGAAGAGCAGCTAGTGCCAGTGCTGATATAGGCTCATGGAGCGTGTCAATACCTAATGAATGTGAAGGAACTACAGAACAATTATCTGATGGCTCAGACAAAATGCCTTTGCTTAAGATAGTGAAAACATGTGCTTTGACGAGTACCTTGCAACCTAAGCCTAGAACAAAGTGTAAAAATGGAGCTGTTAGGTGGGCAGGCGTTAACCAACAGGATGTTGAAGAGGCTATCCCTCTGAGTACTTCTCAGTCGAGTCAGGTAAATGGATCTTACTCAAATGATGCAAAGATGATTTGTTATATACCTCTCTCTTTGGTTATATCTTAGTGCTCTAACCTTCGTATTCCTGTTCCTCATTGTAGGGTTTAGAGGGATGCTTTGAAAGGAACAAGAGTTGCTTAAGTTCCTGTGATGAGCATACATACAATAAGAAGCTTTATGGTTGGCTCGGAGCCCTTCATAGACAACTTCAAAGATCTCAGTATCAGATTCGATATGGGCATCCTATTCAATTGATTGTTTTGGCTCTTGCTGCTCTTGTAATCAGTAAGTCTGTTTACCATGTCTGTTGTTTTTTAATTTTGTTTCTTTGTTCCAGTTAAAAAATATCGGTAGATGTTCCGAGTCACCTATACCAGTTGGCATCTTGTATTCTTGTTCAAGTGCTATTAATTTGTCATTCTAATATGTTTAATACTTAACTAGAGCCTTCGGTAAATAATCTCGATAGAAATGTTGCGGAGTGTTTTTGTTTCATATTTCTTGGTCATGGATTTATCAGTTGGTGTGATTGTATATGCTATACTGAATGCTGTCCTTTCAATATGTACTGAGTACTGGCACATATGGTGTAGCTTTTTTACTGTCTTTTTACACACATTTGTTACCTTTTCATAGCACTTACATTCATATTGAATCCTTGTTATCAAATTTGTATCTTATATCTTGACCTGACCCGTTTGCTGTTATTTTGTCAGTTGTCCTTAACTGTTGCACAACTTTGCGTTTTTTCCCATTGCATATGTATTTACCATTTCTTTTACTTTGCAGTTGTATGCATAGTGAGGACAATCTGGTGACTATATTTATTGGGTCAGGATTGGATTTCTAGCCTCACAAGATCAGCAGCTTGTATGGTAAATTCATTTGCAGTTAAGTTACTTTTGGTCAACTGGATCCTGAGGCATGCACATGTGGCAACTATGGCAGAACATTTTGGTGATCAAGGTTGAAAGGCATGTATAGTGATCTGGTTGGGGCAACTTATCTTGTCACATGTTCAGGGCAGTCTGCTTCGTCCTTGGAAGAACATCTCCAGGGCAATCCTTGCATCAAGGTTGCTTTGTCATACTTGGATATGCTCTGAATGGTGCCTTGAACACTTAATGCACCTCGAGAACTCAATCCTCTGTGGTGGCTGGTCGGCACCTATGTAATGGTCCCAGCATAAATTATTGGTGCAGTGGGCTGGTGATCATGCTGCCGCAACCGAAATTGCAAGACTTGTATCATGCATCTATGCTATTGCTTTTACTGCCTGGCACGGAAGGGTGGTGGATTTTTGTAGGAGTTGCCTTCTGAACTGCAGAGCTCCATAGGGGATAGGTTCTGGTCGGAATGTGAAAGGCACTAGAAAATTACTTTTAAGGCCTGTTTGGATCCTTGGAATTGAATTCATTCTAATAATTATAATTTAGGTATAGATTAATTAAGCTAATATAGTTATATATGGAATATATTTGTATATTTATTGTTAGTCATATAAGGGGCATTTATATGTTGTATTTTTATTGTAGGGAAGTGAGTTGAAGAGTGCTAAAGTTGGAGAATAGAATTATAGTATAGTAATCTATAGAGTTCATTTCTCTCTCCCATCCAATGAATTTGAGATAGGTTTATTTGTGAGCTTGGTAATGTTATGCAATGTCAAATTCCAAGTCAAATAGCCTAATCTATTATGTAAATTTCAATTCCTACAAAATAATAAAGGAATCCCAACGGCCCCTTACTGTATCTGCTTGTATTGTCACGCCTACAACCTAATGAGGAGCCTGGCAGCCTTGTCTGTACCCTGTACACTGAAATTAGAGAATGTTGAAGCCCCCCGGCAGTAATCAGCTGGAGTTGTAAGGTGCCAGTTTGTGTTTATTGTGTAGAACCTGCATTACGGCTAAATTCAGTGAAGAATGTAGCACTTTACTGTGCATGCTAATGTCTTTGGGAGTGTTCGGCCGGTGGTAAAGCCACTGGTGCTGATTTGTATTGCCCCTAACCAACCATGGTATTCCAAACTACGAAGGAAAGCATTTTTGGTCGAGTGCTAATAAAAACAGTCCTCTTATAAATTCTTGTTTATGAGAAATCGTGCAAAGGCTCTTATTTCCCTCAGCTTCTGTAGCATAACTGGCAGCTTCTGCGTGGACTCACAAAAGGAAGGTCGTCGTCGCCGCCTGTCCACTGCGTCCATTGCCGTTAGCCTCTTGCAATCTTTTTGAAAGCAGTTTTTTTGTTCATACATGTTCAACACGTGCTATCCTCACCATCCAACACTGCATCGAGATGTGTGCAACCCAAATCAGTAGTGTGAAGCAGCAGTGGGGCAGAGAGTGGAAACGCACGAATCTCAAAGCACTTTTGGACAGTGTAGATAGTGCATGTGCAGCATGTACATGCTGCAACACATTATTGAATCTTTTTCCCCATTTTTCAGTTCATCCACCAGAGCCGGTAGCAGCTGAAATCCAGAGCACGGTTGTCAGCGGGCGGAGCACGCCAAAGCTCTCCTCTAGCATCGGCAGGAGACACAACCCCTTTGCTGCATCCTCAGTAGTCACGATCGTCCCCTAGCATTCGGCAAATGGTGAGCTGCCGCGGGGTCTCGTGCAAACATCGAGCTCAGGCCGCGGAACTCTGGGCTGGAGCCTCTCAACCCTCCAACACATCGCCATGTGACAATGGTGATGCGACAGCAAAAGGTCGCCATGTGACGATGGTGACGCGACAGCAAAACGCCGGCTTGGCAGGCGGCAGCTACGGCCAAGCGGCGGCTAGGCAGGCTACGGTGTGTTGACGAGACCAACTGCTAGCGTTGGTTTATCCATTGGCGAAGTGAACGGCTCTGATGTTCGACCGAATGCTCGAATTCTAGAACTCCGGTAAAAAGGGCTTATAAATCAGTTGAGACGGAGAAATATAAAGCTGATGCCACTGACATTAACTCATTGAGCCATTCAGCTCAGTATCTTGTACAGCATTTTTATCTGCATCGTAGCAGTGCTGCTTGCGTTTTAATTTACTCAATTTCTTCGCATTATTGGCTCATCATTTTATACGGTTCTGAAATAGCAAAGTCATGTTCCTCGCCCTCCATAGCAAGATGCATGCAATTCCAACTGAAATTCAGACATCAGAACATTATCATGAGTAGAACAGGACTATTTGTTTGGTCCCTCGCTACATACACACAAAAGGGTGTTTTCTAAGCTATACTGCTATCAGCCACCACTCGCACACAACACCATAAAACCTCTTTGGGCGACACAACACATAACACAAAATATTCAGGATATTACAAATGACATGTTGCCATTGGAGCACCAAATTAACTGGGATGCCCAAAACAGCGAATTTTATAACAGTTCAACTCCACGGTGGTTATAGTCTTATTTCCAACTAAGGGTTTGCCATCAGGATCGTGACCGTATATTTGTTCGGCAGTATGGGCAGTCTGCACATTTCCGCACCCATGGCTCCAAGCATGTTGAGTGGAACCTGTGGCCACAGCGCAACCTTATCAGCTCATCTCCATCGTTAAATCCATCAAGGCAAATAGAACATTCTGGTGATGCCTCTCTCTTATCATCTTTCCTAGCCTCAAAAATCTCAATCTGCAGACGCAGGAAAGCCGCCTTGCTAAGTCCAGCTGACCGGTTGGAGTTAGTGGATCTGATGGTTGGTCTTTCTTCATCTGATTCACTGCTTGGGTGGAACGATGATGAGTGGGGCCGATTTGCTTCGTGACGGGTTTCCCTATTTGTGAAGTCGATGATTCTAAACACATCGCTAGCAGAAAACTCATCTAATGAGATGGATGGCCTGGAGGCAGATGAACCAAGAGAAATGCCTCTGAGTCTCTCCAGGACACGTGCTTGTGCTTGCAGTACAGCACCAGGAAGCCGCTCATTTGTCCTGAACATCAGCCTATCAAGTCTGTTCCTCCGAGCTGCAGAATCCCCAATGTTGTTATTGTCTATGTACGATAAGATCTGATCCTGCAGACAGCAAAACAGAGAAATATTATCATTTGATGACCCATCACAAACAATCAGGATGAAAATGGTAGCCCATGGCATGATTCCTGAAATGAAGCTGGCTTGGTATAGATAACAAAAGGGCTAATAGGTGCATCGGCTTGGTCATGATTTTAAGTTACAACTACATATAGCCAACACCCCAGATTACATGGCTGATGAATCAATTATTTCAAGTGGAATTCATCAAAGGATATAAGAGCAAAGCTATTGTGCTCGATGATATGCACACTGCACACAATTACACGGCATAGCAGAAAAAAAAAGTTCTGAAGTGTAGATTCCAGCTAGTCCATGACTAGGCGAGGCAATTGTTACATTTCCCATTTGTATGAAAAAAAAGGTTGTAACAAAAGATGCCTATTTCATAGATCAAGCCTTGCAAAAATAAAATTGCTGAGGTAATTAAGAAAACTGCAAATAACTATATCTCATAAAAATATAACCACAGCTAGCAACGAACCTGCGCCGTCTAGGAAACCTTTGACTGATGGTAGGGCTACAATCGCACAAAGCGGTCAAGACTACAAGCCCAACCACTGCTACTACAATGAACAAGGCTCATTTCAACTCTTTGTGCAACATGGCAATGCCAGTGGGATTATGAAGCTTGGTTCAGAATCTCAGATAGGATTACAATCCGATATATTTCACCAATTAGTACATTGAAGTTTAACCCCGGTATGACAAAAAAAAAAGTGCAACCCCAGTAACAAGTGCAATTGCGTAAATCCCTATTGGTATCCATTTCCCGAGCTATGTAATCATGATAATAAAATCGGCATTTCAAAGTCATCATTGAATTTCGCGCGGGCCAAAACCTAATAGTGACCACGAATTGTATAAGCCAACGTCGGAGATACTCCGATCCAGCCACAACACTGATAAGACAATAATCAAGCGGGAGGAAGATTGGGGCGTGGAGGAAGATTGGGGCGAGGGATTCTCACGGTGTACGACCCGCGGCGACGCGGTGGCGGGGCCCCGGTGTGCAGGTGCTGGCGCACGTCCCCGGCGGCGTCGAGCTGGCGTCGCGGGTGGCACCCGCGGCGCCGGCGCCGGCCGCCGAGTCCGTGCTGGTCCCGGAGCGCGTCGACGTGCGGATCCGGGTCCGGGTCCGGGTCTGGGTCGGAGAGGCGGCCCCCACGGGCGGCGCGGCGCGCGGTGAAGAGCTCGGAGGCGCTCGTCATGGCGGTACCGGATGAGGCGCGCGTGGCGGTGCCCTGCGCTGCGCCAGCGCGAGACAGAGATTTGGGTTTGGTGGATTGGCTGGGTTAAGTTTCCGTGCCCTTTTTTTAATGCAGCGGCCCCCTGCCCGCTGCCCCCATCTGCTCCCTTGCTTGTTTTGGGGCGAGAGGGGGAGGAGGAGAGGGACACGAGTGGAGGAAGCTGCGAGGAGGCACCGTGGCGTGGCGTCTGGCGTGGGACGGACGACGGAGACCAAGACCGGTGGACTAGACGGTGATGGCGACGGGTGCCCGCGCTGGATTGGAAATTTCAGTGGTCGCACGCGTATTTGATTGGGAGTTTCGTCGTCAACCAGTCATGGCCGGCCGTTCATGCTTCAGGGGCACGGCAACCGGAAAGACAGGAACTCCGCATGATCTGGGCTGATCTGTTTCTCTGGGCCTTCGGCCCGTACTGAATGGGCCGTGACCCGACATCATCCGTGCCCTGCAGGGAAAGCTCTCCAAAGTCCAAACCGAGGTTGCCTTGCCAGCTGACCGTGCCAGCCAGCGAATTTTTTACTTTTTAGCCTTTTTTTAAAAAAATCACAAATATACCCCTGGAGGTAAGATTTCAAAATATGGACCCTTCGCTCGGTGCCATCGTTGCTGGCGCCGAGCTTACATGTAGCTCTTGGGCTCGAAACAGACGTGGCGGTGATTTGAAAAGCACCTCGGCGCCAGGGTTACTGGCGCCAAGCCTGTATTACGTATAGGCCCCAATCCATTCTCTCTTCCTCTCCCTCTCTCTCTCGCACCTCCCTCGCCTCGCTCGAAAGCACCAGATCATTGTCGCCGCCGCCCTCTCCCTCCCCGCCCTTCGCGCCAGCATCAGGCTTTGCCTTTGCCGATGCTTGCTCGTGCGCATTTCTGGCCGCCTCGCCGTGGTTACGCGCCACCACCGCGCCGTGACCCTCCTTGGCCTTTGCGCTTGTGCCAGCGCCTTGCCCGTGGCCATGTGCCCTTGCAGTGCCATGCATGGCCATGCTGCGTCCTCGTCGTCGTGCCCACCACCGCCACCGTCGGCGGCGTGCCTGCCGCCATCAGCCGGCCTGCGCCCGTGAAGGCTCAGCATCCAGCGCCGCGCATGCAGCGCCATCGTCAAATCCTCGGCCATGCCCCTCACTGCCCGCACACTCAGAAGTGCCAGTCGTGCCACCATTGCCCGGCTCGTCGCTCGACCCACGCCTGACGTCATTGCGCGACTCGATCGTCGACGTCCGCGACTCCGTCGTCGGACAAGTAAAAATTGTGAATTTGCAATGTGCGTACTTAGTTAGCTTTGATTGTAGTGTAGTAGTTTTGGCATTTGTTATTTACTAGTTAATGTGATGACTCAGGTAGTTGATTTAGTTAGTGATCTAGTGAGATAGATATGTAGATAGATAGAAACATAGATATAAAGGTACATAGATATAGTTAGATAGTTACTTAGATAGATAGTTATATATTTAATTAACTAAATATGATCTAGCTATTTAGTGAGTACACTGTATCTATGTATATAGTTATTATCTTATTTACTTAGTTTGTAGTTAGAAAGTACTTGTTAGGTACTATCTATCGTCTAATTTGGACTAAAGGACATGTGTTTCGTTACGTGTTTGAAATAGATGGACAACCTAGTGACCATTTATCATGGAGGCACCGTTGAAAGCGATCGCTATGGATATGTTGAGTTTGTTGACATGCAAAGCGTGCCTGTGCTATTCAATGAGAAGCCATCGTTTAGTGAGATGGTTGCAAAGGCTCAGGAGGAGCTGCATTGCCTTGGCGATGATGATGATGGCATTGCAGTTGAGGGTGTACTGCACCTAGGTTCTCCTCCCAACATCCTTAGACGAATGATCCCAATTGGATGTGCGGATCAGTGGGAGAACTATGTGAGATCGACAATGAAGAGCCAGTTGCAATGTTTGGACATGATTGTGCGTCGGGTGTTAGTTGATCCCATCCCTCATAGGGTTTCCCCTTTAATGGGTCAACAAGCACACTTCGACCCTCCGGTCCTGGAACCTGATATGGATGTGGAGGTTGCACCTATGGTTCCCGATGCTCAATCTGCCTCTAATGAGCTAGTTGGAGATGCTTGTCATACTCATGATGTTGTGGCAGATCCTCCTCATGAGATCCCTTTGACATAGAATCATCCGAGTAAGTGTCTTATCCGCATGGTTATTGGAAGCTTACCCCCTTACTTACATCCATTTCTTTCATTCTGGCTCCAATAGTGTTGAAACTATGAATGATTCAGAGCCATATGAGATGGCAAGGGCTCTTGATTCTGATGACGATCGCCCTGTTGGAGAGCTGACAGAGAGTGATGTTGAGATGCTGAGGCGTATCTTTCCCGGCCGTCGTGAGCCAAGAGTTCACGAGTTCAGCGATCTTGCTCATTCTGATCAGGCGTGTGCAGAAGGACATGATGATGAGCTCCTAGAAGCTCCTGAGGCCGGCCCTAACATGGTAATTGAGAATGGGAGGGTGTTCAAGGACCTCCCTGTATTGAAGAGGTGGTTGCAGGCGTTTGCAGTGATACGAAAGAGACCTTACAAGGTCTTGTATTCATATGTGGAACGCCGTTACACAGTTGTGTGTGACAAGGAACGTTGTCCATGGAGGGTTTGTGCAAGGAAGCAAAAGGTCACCGAAAAGTGGAAGATCACAAAAGTTGTCGGGCCACACAATTGTGCTGACCATGTGCTAACACTGAGACATCGTCAGTTGACATCTACCCTCATTGCCTAGCGGTTGATGGGAATATTGCAGGGGGAACCCAATATAAAGGTTAGGACAATTATCAGGACCGTTGAGGCCTTGTATGGAGGTTATGTGATAACTTATGGTAAAGCTTGGAGGGCTAAGCAGCGAACGTGGAAGATGATATATGGGGACTGGGAGGATGGGTATGAGCAGCTGCCAGTACTTTTCAATGCAATCAAAGCGATGAATCTAGGCATGCATTATGAGTACATCCCAAAACCAAATGCATGGAAGGATGGGAGGCAGATATTCTTCCGTGCTTTTTGATGCTTCCCTCAGTGTGTCGAGGCCTTTAGGCACTGTCGTCCCGTCTTCTCCATTGATGGTACATTCTTAATTGGCAAATACCAAGGCACACTTCTTATAGCCATATCCTATGACGTGAACAACAAGTTGGTTCCTTTGGCATTTGCTTTGGTTGAGAAGGAGAATAATAATAGTTGGGGATGTTTCTTGAGGCTAGTCTGGATACATGTGGTTGGGTCTGGTAGGGAGGTTGGCGTCATATCTGATAGGCACCAGGGCATACTTAATGTCGTGCGAGAGCAGATAGAGGGGTATGCACCTTTGCACCATCGTTGTTGTACTCGGCACCTTGCCGAGAATCTACTCCGGAAGAATGGTGTGAAGGATAACTTTGATCTGTTCTAGGAGGCTGCTCGACAACTTGAGGACAAGTACTTTTAGAAAAAGTTGGAGCAGGTCAGAACCCGCATCAAATGCAGAAGGTAGACAATGGCTCACAGGTTTGATGAGGGATTTAGAGAAATGGACAAGAGCTCACAACACCGGTGGATGGAGGTACGAGTTTCAGTGCAATAACATGGCAGAGTCATTCAATAAGTTGCTATAGGGGATACATGGTATGCCCATGAATGCAATCGTTCAATTCACCTTCTACAAGCTTGTTGCCTGGTTCAACGATAGACACGCCCACGCATTGAAGTTGCGGAGTGATGGAGAGATACGGGCTCTGAAACCAAAGGCACACCTAGAGAAGGCAAATGAAAGGGCTAGCACACATGAGGTTACATGCTTTGACCATGCCATGGGGACTTATCAGGTCGAGCATAGGGGCGGTACAACGTCCGACGACGAGGTCTGAGAGTCGAGGATGCATGTGGTTATCCTCCAAGATTTCAAATGCACTTGTGGTAAACTAAGGCAGTACCACTTTATATGTTCCCATTTAGTGGCAGCAGCTAGACATCGCAACTATAATATCGAGAGCAGGATACCTCACGAGTTCAGTGTCGACACGCTTGTGCACGTATGGAGCCTCCACTTCGTGCCTTTTCGAGACCTTGGAGAGTGGCCTCCATATGATGGACCAAAGTACATTACAGATCTAGCTTACCATTGGAACAAGCATGGATCAAGGTGAAACATCCTCAATTTTCCTTGAAGGGAAAATCCACATAATGAATTTTAATATGATAAAACCAAGAACTGATTCCATCATATTATCATATTTCAGTCGATGTCACAGTCATACATCGTAAGATTACAAGAATACAAGATATTACATCACCGGGGAACACACCTATTACAGAGTTAATCTAGCGGAAGACTATCGAGTGAAGGCTCCTCCTTCACGGGCATCATCAGAGTTGGCGTAGTGCAGCGTAGATTCCATCTTCGAACCAAACTTGAGCGTAGGCACGAGACCTCCTAATCCTTCTAAAGTCGGCATCTCTGAGAAGCAGGAAATCTGCACACCGCCAGATGTGTGCAGGCCATGGTCAGCACCGATGAGCTTTAGTGGAAAAAGATAAACAAGGGATATGGCAATCCTAATATTTGGCTGTGGTTTGCATCCTTAGCGCATGAGAAGTAAATAACATTAGTAATATAGTAATAATATCCAGTTCTTAACACATTCACCACCACACCATCCATATCCATCCACCAACCATCCATCCCAACCCATCTCCACACCACCACACCATATCTCATCTCATACACTCAGGTCGACAGGCCAACTCCCTCTCGGCCTTGTCTCAATGGCCCGTAGCCCCCAATGCTTACGACCGGAAAATACCCCAACCCTGGAGGGAGGAAAGAATGACTCATCTCCTATCTAGTTTAAGCGAAACCCAGGAAAGGTCCATAGCCGATAAGTCGACATATGTATCGATCGATCAACCATACACTCTGCAGATGTTTCACATACCCACAAGACGACCATCCTTGACGGTGCC